AGAAATAGAAATAGAAATAGAAATAAAAAGAAAGAGAAATAGAAATAGACATAGAAATAGAAACAGAAATAGAAATAGAAATAGAAATAAATAGAAATAGAAATAAAAAGAAATAGAAATAGAAATAGAAATAGACATAGAAGCAGAAATAGAAACAGAAATAGAAATAGAAATAGAAACAGAAATAGAAATAGAAATACAGAAAGCGAGAGAGATAGAGATAAATACATATTTACAAATATGTACATGTCTCGACAAAAATCTCGACATATCGAATACTGAATACTGTAGAATCATCAAGTCACCAACAATTCTCAAGGAATGCAATTCACTGCTCACAGACGAAATCAGATCATGCCAGTCTTTTGCACAGAAACTTTGCCATCCACATGGCAACAATCGCCGTGCCACAGGTTGTGGAACCACGTAGCATTCTTCTTGTGAGTTGTGGACAACAAAAAGGTCACCACAACTGGAGAATGTTTGCAGATCAATCACTATGATACCACTTGCAACAATTGTGTTAAATCCAATGGTCCGACATTGCAAATTCTGCACCTCTTCCCGGCCTGCGCAACAGAGCAATTCAGCAGGCTGGCGAGAACTTAGAGGATCTTACGGAGTGTCTGCTGCCTTATCTGTTGAGCCGGGTCAACCACTACAATTCCCGGTAGTTCACGAATATCATGGTGACCTAAATAACACGGCGGGTATAAGATCATCGCAGCTACCACAACCAGCTTAGGAAAATGGCAAGTGACTAGTGAAGACGTCTACCAAGGAGATGTGAAATTCCGCTACAAATGAGAAGAAACACTTTCTTGGGGATACCGATAGAACATGTAACACAATCAAACTTTGGTAACTTTAGTGAACGCCCGCCCACAGATTGCAGCATAAACATGGGCTTCCATGCCACAGACACACACACATTTAAACAAACACTCCCATACGACAGCAGAGTCAAGCCACGCCGGCGAATTTCGTCAAGCATGCGTTGAGTGGACGGGGTCAGCTCAAGCACTTTCACTGGGCATTGTGGCTGCTTTGCCGAGGCGATCAAACTCCAAGCTCCGCAATCAGCATCAAAAAATGGTCTCAGTCGTCGTGATTCCGACGATCGACTGCATCCTCCTCCTTCTCATCTCCTCCAGCGTTCGCTGACCTCGCACTCTTCATTTTCAAGGTCTTCTTCCAAGCAGAGATCTCACTATCTGCTGTTGCCTCGGTCAATGCAACTAACTCATTCTTGTTGGACGGCATTCTCCGCTCCACCATGGACAAGCTCTGCCACCAGAAGTGAAGGTTCTTCAGAGACTCCAGCGATTGGTTTACATTGCGGAGCTGGGATGACAAAGCCTCAAACTCCAGAATGCCAGTGAGGAAGGAAATGAATGACACCACAACGGGTATCCATGCATCAAACCCAAGCGGGCCTGCCGCTGCAAGCACCCCTGTCAAGAAAAAGACTGTCACCTGAATAGCTTGCACCATTCTGGAAAGAACTCGGCTGCGCCGAGTGTAGTACTGCAGCATGGGCAAGAAACGGAAGTGGATGTAGTCCTCGGCTGTGACCAGTGATAAACCGTCGTCCTTCAAAAAGTCATCCTCGATAACATTAGGATTTTGATAAAAGTCACCACCGGTTTTGCTCCAGGGATTGTCCGTCTCACTGAATTCTGCATGATCCTGACGACTTGAACAGCGGCAGAAATCATGAAGCATCTGCCAGCAGCAAGCGCGGTATGAGCTGTTCCGCCTCTGATAGGATGCAAAAACATGGTTCCAGTCATACAGATTGGCAAGGAGGTCGTTCATGGCATAACTTGGCGGCATTTGCAGGTAATCAGACCGAACGTCCGAACCAATAGCATCGGAGTTGATCTGCTCTAAAGTTGCTGCGAAGGCACCTCGCCTACTCATCTTGTTTGCCACGGATGCTTTGGCTTTATTTCGTCTTCTTCTGGATGCCTCCGACGCAGCAGCGGCATCATCTGCAACGCCACCACACGGGTGATCACACAGATCCGCGACGCGATCTTCAATATCCATGTTGCTGGCTTTGCGGGGCTGATAGTCCAGCACACGACACCGATACTGATAGATCTCACTCTTCATGTGCACAGACCCGCTTTCCAAAGCAGCCCACTTGTTTACCGGGCTCAGACGACTGATGGAGCTCAGGACGAATGCGCTGACACAGGGCAAAACCAGCAAAGCTACTTTAAGTTCTGCTTCCTGCAAGGGCCCATCTGCTGCTTTCTTGCTTTCTTGATAAAGGACAGCCACAACGGTCACGATGACCGAAAGCAGCATGGCGATGTAGTGCAGAAATCTGGCGGTCCGTCGGAAGATGGCCGCGTTGTGGGCAAACAACAAATGCTGCTCCCAGGCATAGCGCAGCCGATTCTCTTCACTCTTGGCGAAGCCAACTTCCATCATTTCATCATCTTGAACAGTGGACAGCACGAGAGTCAGTTTGTTGATGACTTTTTCGACAGAGTCTTTGGCAGGGTTCAAAATGAGGAACTGGTCATCAGGGACATGCTCAGGTAGGTCATAGTTATACCCAAACCTATCCAGGAGAAGGGTTGGTTGGCGCCTCTTCAGCACAGAAGCCCCAAGCATCTCAGCTGCACCACCTAGCAACATGCTGCGTTTGGGGAACCCAACGGAGCACGGTCGGAACCTAATAGTATTATACAAGCATGCCATGCGAGCCTACGTGACTGTTGGAAACAGCAGCCTGTGTTGTGAAGACAGACCACTGGAACACCAGCCATTGCTTCCATCAAGACCTTCCCATTAACACCTGGCTGGATGAGAGATTCGTGGCCATTTGCAAAAATGGTAGCACGCGTGGCCAAACAGCGCAGCTTGCTTCGGAGCCTGTCATGTGTTTGCTGGTTCCGTACAAAAATTATGTGCGTGAGGGCATTGCAGAGAAATCGGTGTGATATATGGGCACGAACCTCTTTATCCAAGCGCAACGTGCTGTTGCAACTTTCAGCAGCATCTGGCTCGCCGAAGCCACTCAGATCTTGTTCGTCGGCCGTGTCATCGGTTCCTCTTCCGAGCTCAGGAAATAGTTTCTCGTTCACGGATGGATATATGACGCGCTTCCGCTTGAGGGAGTCATCCGATGCCGAAGTAGGTACAGAGCACTCTTCGAACTGTTCCTTGAATTCCGTCTCATCTAGAAAGCGGACGCAGAACACAACAGCTCCATCTTTGTGGCCAGCAAGGCAGCCAAAAGCAGACCAGTAGACTTTCAGCCCATCCATCAAGACTTCATTCAAGCCTCCTCGTTTGCCGAAGCCGAGATCAAACCATCCTCCGCACTCTGTGACCGCTTGGCAAACACCCGCGGAAATCTCTGCCAGTCTACTGGTAAACTTTTTCTTGAACTTAAAATCTGCCATCGCAGGCAGAGGCTGCCCCATCGCTCCTGCCCTGTCCACCTTTGGGTGTGCGAAGTTACCTCCACGT